AGGGGGAGAAAGAGACAGAAGAGGAATAGAGAGAGAGACACATGGGGGAGAAAGATACAGTGGTAATAGAGTAAGAGAGAAACAGGGGGAGAAAGAGACGGGGGAATAGAGAGACACGGGGGAGAAAGAGACAGGGGGAATAAAGAGACATAGGGGAGAGAGGGATGGGGGAATAAAGAGACACACAGGGAGGAGGGAGAAAGAGACAGAGGGGAAGAGAGAGACACAGAGGGAGGGGGAAGAAAGACTGATGGGGAGAGAGAGACAGGGGGAATAGAGAGATACAGAGGGGAAAGAGAGAGACACAGAGGGAGGGGATGTAAAGAGACAGAGGGGGAGAGAGAGCGACATAGGGAAAGGAGGGAGAAAGAGACAGAGGGGTAAGAGCGAGACACAGGCAGAAAGAGGGGGATAGAGAGATGGTGGAGGGGGAGAGACAGGGAAAGTGGGGAGAACAACACAGAGGGGAAGAGAGACACAGAGGGAGATACACACAGGTGGAGGGGGAGAAAGAGGCAGAGGAGAAGAGAGACACACAGGGGAGGGGGAGAAAGAAACAGGGGGAAGAGAGAGACAGAGGGGGAGAGACACAGGGGGAGGGGGAGAAAGAGGCAGAGGGGAAGAGAGACAAACAGGGGAGGGAGAGGAAGAAACAGGGGGAAGAGAGAGACACGGGGGAGGGGGAAAAGATACAGAAGGGGAAGAGAGAGACTGGGAATGAGAGGTGAGACATGGACACAGAGGAGCAGTGAGGGGGAGAAAGAAACATACAGAGGGACTTGGTTGAGCAGACGCACACTGGCTTTGGAAGGGGAGAAAGAGACATACAGAGGGCTGGAGAATGGTAAAAAGAGACACACAGGGACTGGGATTAAGTAAAAGATACACAAAGGGAGTCACAATGGGGAACAAGAAACACAAAAAGTAGCAAGAAATTAAAAAGGGGGTTAAGAGAAACACAAGAGAAGATACAATACCTCAGTTCTTCAGTACAGGGCTCCATGCAATAATTTTTTTCCAGGGCTGCTGTTAGTTCCCAGTCCAGCCCTAGGTGTATGTGGCATGCCACAATCTCTAGGTAGGGAGTACGTGTGAAAGTAACATCCACATGAATGCCAGGACCCAAGGTTTCCCAGCAGAACATTGCCCAATATATTATTATTATTATTATCGCCATTTATATAGTGCCAACAGATTCTGTAGCACTTTACAATATTATATGAGGGGGGATTTAACTATAAATAGGACAATTACAAGAAAACTTACAGGAACCATAGGCTGAAGAGGACCCTGCTCAAACGAGCTTACAGTCTGTAACCCTGCCTCTGCTGGCCTGCTTTCTATATCCATAGTGCATCCTGCTGCAATCTCTTCCCCAGGTAAACAACACGCCTGACCATGCACCTGATCTGAAATAAAATGTGATTCATCGCTTTCAGCAGTGGACATGGGCCATCATATGCATCCTGATCGGTCTGCAAAGTAAAATGCAATGCATTGCGTGTTCTGATACCTTTCTATCATGGCCAGCGTTACGTTTTTCAACAATTTGAGCTACCTGGCAGGTTAGCCTTCACTCCCTATGTGTATCAGTGAGACTTGAGTGTCCATGACCCTGCTGCTGGTTTACTGTTTGTTCTTTCTTGCATTGCTTTTGGTAGGTACTACTAACCACTGCATACTGTGAACACCCCACAAGACTTGCCATTTTGGAGATGTCCTGATCTAGTCGTCTAGCCATCACTATGTGGACCTTGTCAAAGTCACTCAGATCTTTTCACTTTCCCATTTTTCCTGCTTCCAACAAATTCCAGAACTGACTGTTCACTTGCTGCCTAATATATCCATCCCCATAACAGGTGCCATTGTAACAATATACTCAATGTTAGTCACTTCACCTGTCATTAGTTTTAATCTTGTGGCTGAAGAGTGTAAATAGATATAATAGGAACAGTGTGTAAACAATGGGAGCCCCCGTGTAGAGATCTAAGTCTTTTAGGATGGGCTATGAATAACATTTTGGGGAGCTCCATGTGAAACACTGTTGGAAATAGGCATGAACTGCATTCCGTTTGATAAATTATTATTAGTAGTTTAGTATTGGATCACTAGCATGTAATAGAATGAGCTCACTAAAAATATAAAGAAAGTGTATAGTATTGAATCAAAATATAAAAAAACAATCTCCATTTTCCATGTCACACTGTATATCATTGCCACCCAAAAAGAGGTTAGATATTTATTTTATTTACCAGCTATTAAAAGTATCTTGCACTGCAGTAACGATGAAAAAAACATATGTCGGAGGCGGGGCCGGACCGCCGAGCTGAGCGGTCGCAGGACAGCTCAGCTCCTGCAAAAAGAGGCACATAAAACCTGTAAATCGGGATTATGAGGAAATTACCTACTAATACCTGCGACCCTCTAAGTAACCGGGCTGCCTGAGCTGAGGAGAGGCTTGCTCCTGGAGCTCTAGTCCCTCGGAGGAGAGGGCCCGCTGCATCAGGTGGGACCTCGCCTGGTGGTGAGTAAAGTGGATGGCCGCCGCAACACTATCCTGCCCGAAGGAGCCCGACACAAGCGGACTACAGGCGGGTCCGGTCCTGACTCCCCCAGCCGCACTCCGAGGCCGCGATATCCCAAGCCGCAGCGAGGGCCAGAGGCCTAAAGCTAAAATGGCGGAGGCCACATGTGAGTTCCTGAGGGCCAGAGAGAAATGGACTAGCAGCCCTCGCAGACCCAAGGAGGCGACCAAGCGCCAAGCCGAGGAAAGCCGACCTGCTGCCCTACCCTGCAAGCAAAATGCCTGAAGCACACAACCTACCAAGCTCAGGCCGACAGCATGCCGCTACCCACATATACAACTGGGCCTGGGAATGGAACTCTCGCAAATGGGTCAGGTGCTGCGATGCCTGAAACTCCTCACTGAACTGCAAATTAATGAGATACCCGCGGCAGGTATCGGCTGACCGACTGCTACTCTTAAAGCCGCAGGATGCTGCGATGCCAGGTACCAGGACTGAATAAAAGAGAACTGTTGCCCTCCTGTGACACAAATCTTAAACACCCATGAAACTCCTGGGACACAAATCCCCAGCATCCTCTCCCTAATCGCGAGTTTCACCCTCTGTACTGTCACGTATTCATCCGCTTATAGAAATGTGGTTAATGACATTTACTGTCCACACAGGAAAAGTTGTGCCGAGCAGCAACCTAATCCACAGAAGGTTTAATGCTGAGCAGTAATTGTGCAAATGAAACCTGGTCTCATGTATTCATCCACTTATAGAAAAGTGGTTAATGACATTTACTGTCCACACAGGAAAAGTTGTGCCGAGCAGCAACCTAATCCACAGAAGGGTTAATGCTGAGCAGCAATTATGCAAATGAAACCTGGTAACTGACTTTGGGGTCAAAGGCCGGTTACAGCCTATCAGAAAGAAAGGAGGGGTATTTAGGCCCAGTTCTCAGCCTGCTCAGTGCCCTGTCGTGGTTTCCCTTGTGGTTGTCCGAGAGCGCGTTCCTGTTTATAGTTTTCTACCTGGTTTTTGACTTTGGCTTTGTTTATTGACTTCTCTATATTCTGGTATCCTGACTCCTGGCTTTCCTCATCGCTGTGTCCCTTTCTGTGTTCCCTGACCTCGGCTAGTATTTTTGACTATTCTTTGTACGTTAAATCCGGCCATTCTAAGGACCGGTAATACGTTACTTATTTGTCATCCGTGCTGTACAGTTCTACGTGCTGGATCAAACAGTAATCCTGACATTACGACATGGCCATAGATCCTGTAGAACTGTGTCAGCACATAGCTGCTTGCGAGAGGAAATTAGAGGAGAATGATCACCGCATGGATCAATTCACTCAGGCTTTAAGTACGCTTCTCGCTAGAACGGAGCATCTGCAGCCTGCAGCGTCTCCTCCTATAGCACCTCTACCCTGTGTACCTCCACCCACTGTTAATAGGACTCCTTGCATCTCCTTATCACCATCCCTACAGTTTGATGGCAATATCCAGGAATGCAGGGGTTTTCTTAATCAGGTGGAGTACCATTTTGAGGCCTCACCAGGGTCATTCCCCACGGACAGAGCAAGAATTGGTTATCTAATGAATCAATTAAAGGGCAAGGCCCTTGCCTGGGCTAATCCGTTGTGGGAGAGTAATCGGAGCATAGCTCATAATTACCAGGAATTCCTTGCCGAATTCAAGCTCACGTTTGAGCCATTGGGTAGAGAGGATGACGCCTCCACTGCCCTAATGCACATCAGACAAGGTAACCGGTCTATCTCGGATTATGCTATTGAATTCCGTACCTTAGCTTCCAAGGTAGACTGGACTAACAATGGGTTAATCTCAGCATTCAAAAAGGGTCTCTCAGAGACTATACTAGATGAGATAGCCGCTAAAGAATTACCTAAGAGTCTTAACGAATTTATTACGTTTGTCATGCATATTGATAATAGGTTAAGACTCAGAGAAGTCACCAGAAGCAAGACCAGACGTACGGCTATGTCCCTAGCACCTCAATTCTCTAAACCTGTTTTGTCTAACCTCCCTGTACAGTCCGAACCCGAACCTATGCAGTTGGGGGTCACTAGACTGTCAGAGGCCGAAAAACAGTATAGGAGAAGGGAGGGGTTATGCCTATATTGCGGTAGAAAGGGACATATGATAACTAATTGTCCAGTGCGTCCGGAAAACTTCCGCACCTAAGAACCTTAAGGGGACAGATCTTAGGTGTGATGGAGTTGTCCTCTAACAAAAACAAAAGTAGATTCCTCCTTGAGGTATCTATTTCCCTTGATAACAAGAAGTTTTCTTGCAGTGCCCTAATGGACTCAGGTGCTGCTGGAAATTTTATTGATGTCCAGTTTATTAGGGGTAATGAGATACCGGTCAGGGAGAGACCTACGCCGCTAGCTGTAGAGGCTATTGATGGTAGACCACTCACACAACCGCTTATAACCCATGAAACTGTCCCTATTACTGTCCCTAATATGATAGGACATGATGGAGAAGTAAAAACCTGAAACGTCATCTCCTCCCTATGGGAGATAGGGAGGAGATGACGTTTCAGGTTTTTACTTCTCCATCATGTCCTATCATATTAGGCTTTCCGTGGCTGAGTAAGCACAATCCCTATATTGACTGGGCTAATGGGGAGATATTAGAATGGGGTAAATAGTGTATGGGGAGATGTATAAAACCAGTACTAAAGAGATTGGATACTATTGACCTTCCCACTACCACTCCCCAAACTCCTGGAGTTCCCATACAATACCGAGAACTTCAGGAGGTGTTTAACAAGGCTCAATCTGATGTATTGCCTCCCCACTGAGCATATGACTGTGCCATTAACCTGTTTCCAGGCGCTATGCCACCTAAGGGGGCAGTTTATGCCTTATCTCCCCAGGAGAGTAAAATAATGGAGGAATACATCAAAGAATCCTTCAGCAAAGGGCACATCATTTGTCTTGGTTTATTTGGACGATATTTTGGTGTATTCCCCTGATCTTCAGACTCACCACTCCCATGTGAAACAGGTTCTGCAGACGTTGTTGAAAAATAAACTTTATTGCAAATTAGAAAAGTGCATATTTGACCAGCCTGAAGTCCACTTTTTGGGTTACAACATCTCTGCATCGGGATTTCAAATGGATCCTAAAAAACTAGAGGCTGTACTACACTGGCCATTACCCTCTGGTTTAAAAGCCATTCAAAGGTTTATTGGTTTTGCCAACTATTACAGAAGATTCATCAAGGGATTTTCTTCTGTAATAGCCCCAATCACAAATATGACTCGCAAAGGGGTTAGTAGCACGGTATGGTCCAAAGAGGCTGTGAATGCTTTTGAGACTCTTAAACAAAGATTTGCCTCTGCGGACATACTAAAACATCCCGACACTAGTAAACCTTTTATATTGGAGGTTGATGCATCCGAGACAGGGGTAGGGGCTGTTCTCTCTCAGAGAGAAAGCCAGGGAACACCATTGCATCCTTGTGGCTACTTCTCCAGAAAGATGTCTCCTGCTGAGCACAACTATGATATTGGCAATAGAGAACTGTTGGCCATTATTCTTGCCCTCAAGGAGTGGCGACATCTTTTGGAGGGTTCCAAGGACCCCCTGTTGATCATAACCGACCACAAAAATCTGGCATATATAGGGGATGCCAAACGTTTGTCTTCCAGACAGGCTAGATGGTCACTATTCCTTTCATGTTTTAACTTTCTCATTACTTATAGACCTGGTTCTAAAAATACCAAGGCTGATGCCTTGTCCAGGCAATTTGATAATGAGTCAGCTCCGGAACAGGTGACATCTCCTATTATTCCACCAGAGTGTATTATTGCCACTACTGTCCTCTCACTGTCTTCTCCACTGCTTGGCACCATACTGGAGGCCCAGCCTCAGGCGCCCAGTGGTAAACCGTGTGATAAACTGTTCGTTCCCCTATGTGAAAGGGTTAATATCATGAAAGTGTTCCATGACAATATAACTGCTGGACACCCGGGCATCAATAAGTCCACTGCCGCGATCACTAGATCATTTTGGTGGGATTCACTCAGGAAAGATGTAAAGGAGTATGTGCAGGCATGTTCTGTGTGTGCAGTTTCTAAGGTGACTCATGCACTTCCTTGTGGCCTGTTGCAGCCTCTTCCTGTTCCTGAGATTCCATGGTCCCACTTATCCATGGACTTTATTGTAGAGCTTCCTAGCTCTGCTGGGTTCACTACTATTCTCATGGTTGTAGACCGATTTTCTAAGATGGCTCACTTCATTCCTCTCAAGAAGTTGCCATCTTCGCAAGATTTGGTCCTAATTTTCATACGTGAAATTGTCCGTTTGCATGGCATCCCCCACAATATTGTGTCTGATAGGGGCTCTCAGTTTGTGTCCAGGTTCTGGAGGGCGTTCAGTAAACAATTGGGGATTGATCTCTCCTTCTCCTCCTCCTACCATCCACAGACCAATGGTACAGCTGAGAGGGCTAACCAGTCATTAGAAGTTTATTTGCGTTGTTTTATTAATAGCACACAAGACAATTGGTCCGAACTACTCCCGTGGGCCGAGTTCGCTAGAAACAATGCTGTTCATGACTCCTCTGGGCACAGTCCATTTTTTGTCAATAATGGTAGGCATCCTACGGTTCTCCCTGCGGTATTTTCTGATACTGCCATTCCTGCTCTGGATGAGCGTCTGGCCTCCATTCGGGATACCTGGGTTAAGGTTCAAACTGCTCTAGGGGCTGCTGCTGAACGCTTCAAACATTTTGCTGATAAGCGTAGGAGTGCCAACCCGGTGTACCAAGTGGGGGACCGGGTTTGGTTGTCATCTCGCAACATCAAGCTTAAGGTCCCTAGCATGAAGTTTGCCCCCAGATTCCTTGGTCCCTATAGAGTGCTTCGTAGGATCAATCCAGTGTCTTACTCTCTGGCTCTTCCTGCATCTTTAGGGATTCCCAACACTTTTCATGTGTCCTTACTCAAACCTCTTGTCTGCAATAGATATACTGTTCCTTGTGTTCCTCCCCCTCCGGTGGTGGTGGGTGGTCAGGAAGAGTATGAGGTATCTTCTATCGTGGATTTTAGGTTTTCTCGGGGCACTTTACAGTACTTGGTTGTTTGGAAAGGTTACGGTCCTGCTGATCGTTCTTGGGTTTCGGCTCCTGACCTGCATGCGGGCCGTAAGATCCGCGCTTTTCACGCTAAATTTCCTCTCAAGCCTGGTCCTGTCCGCCCGGTGGGCGTTCTTCAGGTGGGGGGTAATGTCACGTATTCATCCGCTTATAGAAATGTGGTTAATGACATTTACTGTCCACACAGGAAAAGTTGTGCCGAGCAGCAACCTAATCCACAGAAGGGTTAATGCTGAGCAGCAATTATGCAAATGAAACCTGGTAACTGACTTTGGGGTCAAAGGCCGGTTACAGCCTATCAGAAAAAGGAGGGGTATTTAGGCCCAGTTCTCAGCCTGCTCAGTGCCCTGTCGTGGTTTCCCTTGTGGTTGTCCGAGAGCGCGTTCCTGTTTATAGTTTTCTACCTGGTTTTTGACTTTGGCTTTGTTTATTGACTTCTCTATATTCTAGTATCCTGACTCCTGGCTTTCCTCATCGCTGTGTCCCTTTCTGTGTTCCCTGACCTCGGCTAGTATTTTTGACTATTCTTTGTACGTTAAATCCGGCCATTCTAAGGACCGGTAATACGTTACTTATTTGTCATCCGTGCTGTACAGTTCTACGTGCTGGATCAAACAGTAATCCTGACATATACTACATGAAACCAACAGCCTCCCTGGGAAACTCTTCGGTTAAAATTCTTGTTAATACTTGCCTGTTTTTACTTTTGACCTTAAAGGACCACTATAGTGCCAGGAAAACATACTCGTTTTCCTGGCACTATAGTGCCCTGAGGGTGCCCCCACCCTCAGGGTCCCCCTCCCGCCCGGCTCTGGAAAGGGAAAAGGGGTTAAAACTTACCCTTTTCCAGCGCTGGGCGGAGAGCTCTCCTCCTCCGATCCTCCTCCGTTACGCCCCGCCGGCTGAATGCGCACACGCGGCAAGAGCTGCGCGCGCATTCAGCCGGTCTCATAGGAAAGCATTTACAATGCTTTCCTATGGACGCTGGCGTGCTCTCACTGTGAAAAATCACAGTGAGAAGCACGCAAGCGCCTCTAGTGGCTGTCAATGAGACAGCCACTAGAGGATTAGGGGGAAGGCTTAACCCATTCATAATTATAGCAGTTTCTCTGAAACTGCTATAATTATGAAAAAATGGGTTAACCCTAGAAGGACCTGGCACCCAGACCACTTCATTAAGCTGAAGTGGTCTGGGTGCCTAGAGTGGTCCTTTAAGAAAATCTGTGTCTTAGCTACACTATCTGTCGACTACCTATATACTGTACATTGTTTAGGCAGGCTAGACTTAATTGCTTAACTAATCAAAATTTAGGGCTAACTGACTCTGATTTAACCATAGGCATAATACTGAATCGTATGCATATCTAGCCTAACATGTACATAATTTGCTATAATCCAGTGATGTCTCATAGCTTGTTAATAACATGTTAATTGTTATGGCACGTATACTACGTACCATAATCTATCGATGCCACATAGTCTGTTAGCCCCATGTCCTAGCATGTTAACTACCTATTATTGATGTCTTATAGCCTGTTAACCTCGTGTTTTAGCATGTACACTATTAACTATGGAAGTCTCATAGCCTGTTAATTCCACATTATATTTACAAAAATGTGCTGTCTAACCCGCTGCAACCTGAAATGCTTTGACTACACCTGCAGTAGCTGTTGTGGCACTGCATGTTTGATGTTAAAATAAAGAATTTAAAAAAAAAATGTTGTATGTCAAAAACCATCGGTTGCAGAATAAGGAGGGACTATCTACAGTGGATGTTCAGATTTCCAGTGTTCAGCCTGTTCTAACACCAAGACCTGTATACATAGACTCACCTCCTTCTCTGAGTTCAGTGTTTTTACATTGTAAGTTACTATGTACTATTATTATTGTTTGATAGAAAGCACCCTTTCTTACTGGAGACTTTGTATTACCTGTGTTGAACATCTAAAAATGTGTTCACAGACCCAGAGCACAGTGCTATAAAAATAATGCAAAACTCCCCAAATTGGCATACTGATTAATAGGACACCGCTGGGAGGGGCTGTAAAGGGATGGGCCTGTGATGCAATTGTGTCACTGGCTCTACCCAAAATGGGCACATCCGCCCACATTACTGCCAAGTAGGCCCACTAATGGCAGGATATACAGGCAGGACTGTTTCAGTGCTCTCTGCAGTGCTCTTCTTACACCCTTAGTGAGTGCGTCTTATGATGCACTTGGACTTTACATTTTGGAGACAGTTCCCTGGTTACCCATGGTGTCCCCAGAAATCCTCAAAGTCAGAACAGCCTGACCAAAAAATCCAGACTGTCCCACCAAAATCATGACAGTTGGGAGGGATGTGCGTGGTTCTAAGTAAAACTGACATGTTATTGAATTTATTTAATTAGTGGATTTATTTACGCATGTTTTTATTATCTAATGTAGAATTTGTAATTAATGATGTCCTGAACGGTTCGCCATG